TGACTTTTTCTTGACTGGGGAAAAAAATCTCTTACTTCACCAAGCAGGCAGTGGTATTTAGGTTTTATTTCTTCTTTGTTTTTATTTTATTTATTTTTGAAAATATTTTTATTGATTTCAGAGAGTAAGGGAGAGGGAGAGAGAGATAGAAATATCAATGATTAGAGAGAATCATTGATCAACTGCCTCCTGCACGCCCCATACTGGGGATTGAGCCCGCAACCCGAGCATGTGCCCTGACCGGAATCAAACCATGACCTCCTGGTTCATAGGTTGATGCTCAACCACTGAGCCACACTGGCCAGGCATGAAGGTGCCTTTTTAATGCAAAGCATGCTGAGCTAAGAACATGAAGACCTGAACTTTAATTTCACCTTGTCACTAAATAGTTATGTGACTTCAGGCGAATCATTTCATGTCTGACTCCTTTCACACCCTTCATGTATGAAATGAGAAGGTGGGGTTAAGTAATTTTTTAGGCTCCTTTAAACTCCAGTTGTTCCTGAGGTAGAGTGAGAAGTATACTTTCATTGATGTTGTTTTTCTAGGTTGCCAAGCTGTCCAAGGAATTGGAAGATGCCAAGAAAGAAATGGCTTCTCTCTCTGCTGCAGTTACTGCTGTAGCTCCTCCCAGCAGTGCTACTGTTCCCCCTGCCCCTCCTCTGCCTGGTGACTCTGGCACTGCTATTCCACCCCCACCTCCTCTTCCTGGGGGTGGCACCATTCCTCCTCCACCACCTCCCCCTCCTCTCCCTGGTGACTGTTTCACTGCTATTCCACCCCCACCTCCTCTTCCTGGGGGTGGCACCATTCCTCCTCCACCACCTCCCCCTCCTTTGCCTGGGGGTGCTGCCATCCCCCCACCCCCTCCTCCCTTACCTGGTGGACCAGGAATGCTGCCTCCTCCTCCTCCCCCTCTTCCTGGTGGTACTGGAATCCCCCCACCTCCTCCATTTCCTGGAGGCCCTGGCATTCCTCCACCTCCACCAGGAATGGGTATGCCTCCACCTCCCCCTTTTGGATTTGGAGTTCCTGCAGCCCCAGTTCTGCCATATGGACTAACCCCAAAGAAGCTTTATAAGCCAGAGGTACAGCTCCGGAGGCCAAACTGGTCCAAGGTGAGAATTTCTGTGCATTTCTTTATCAGTACATCTTCAGAAACCACTTCACTTTTCTACTTTGTTCATGATTGGGCTTCCCTTTCTTGTGGCTCACATCTGTCTCTCTTTAGTGCCATTCATGCATGTGTGTATTCAGCAGGTATTAGATATCTCCTGTATGCTAGACATCATTTTGGAAAGTTCTTTGAGCCCAAACTCTGCTACAAAACCTAAACTTAAGTTAGTATTTTTGGCCTCTGAGGATTTGAGTGCCAGGGAAACACACAGTTTGATAACAGTCATTTCACTAATCTACAAAGTACTGATAATTTTGCTGATCTCAAGTCATGGATTAGTGGATACAGCCCCACTACCTCCACCCTCCAGTAAATGAGTTCACAGGGGATATTTGCATTGTCCAGTATTATTCCCACTATGTGTTTGCATTTAACCTTTTTCTTCCAGAAACCAAGTTAAAATAGAGTTAAGGAATTGTAAAAAGAACAAATTTGGCACAGTTAGCCAAATTGATGGGAAAATATGTGATGTAGCCCTAACCGGTTTGGCTCAGTGGATAGAGCATCAGTCTGCGGACTCAAGGGTCCCAGGTTCGATTCCGGTCAAGGGCATGTACCTTGGTTGCAGGCACATCCCCAGTAGGGAGTGTGCAAGAGGCAGCTGATCGATGTTTCTCTCTCATCGATATTTCTAACTCTCTATCCCTCTCCCTTCCTCAGTGGGGAAAAAAAAAATTTTTTTTGAAAAATATGTGATGTTGAACAGGGGGAGATGTGAAATAATGCCTTAATGCTTCTAAAACTAGTGGGTTTGAGGTTAGAAGGATGATAGGTAGCATAACTTGAATAATCATCAACAAACACACTGGAAGCATCAACTCCTGATTTCATCATGAAGAGCACAGCTGTTGTCTATCACAGGTCCATCTGATTCTGGTATAGACAGTGCTCATAATCGGCCAGCCACCTCTTGCTTCTTAATCAGTTTTCTAGGATGGAAAGTACAGAACTCAGCTTAGTAACTGTTAACACCTTGCCTGTATCCACAGTTTGTCGCTGAGGACCTTTCCCAGAACTGCTTCTGGACAAAGGTGAAGGAGGACCGCTTTGAGAACAATGAACTTTTCGCCAAACTTACCAGTGCCTTCTCTGCGCAGACCAAGAGTGAGTCCCTTCCTCATTCATGCAAAAAGGGCCAATGTAGTATTTAGAATATCCTATAAATGGGTTTCCCATCTTTTTCCCTTTCCTGGGTGAAGGTTGAAGAGAGATGGGATTTCAACTAGGAAGAAAATAAGATGTTTTTATATTTTGGGGATGCTGGGTTTGTGAAAGAGAATTGTATGTAGGTTGCTATTTCTCCCTGCCCTCTCTCCCCCCACCCCACCCAGTTGTTTTGCATGTAGGTATTTTATATCATTATTACTTGTGGGGATATGAGATAAGGTGACAGCTCAGTCTGGCCCCATTTTGATGATGCTCTTGAACCAATTCTGGCACTGCTGTTAAGGTACTAGCTCCAGACCTACCTACATAATTGATGAGGGTTGGGCAGAGTCTTTAGCTGGTTGAGCCTACTGTCTGCAGTAACAACAAACCATGTGTGATTCCTTGTTTTTCTTCCATTTTTCTCCAATATCTGATGCTTTCTCCATCCTGGCCCTTTGCTTCTGCAGCATCAAAAGGTAAGTACATAGAAGGGCCTTTTCGTTGGATCTCTTTAATATTAGAGAAAAAGTGAAACAGATGTAAAGGAATTTCTCTTTAGAAAACTGAGACTAAAGATTGGGGTTGATTTATCTTTTCCTAATATTTTTTCTTTCTTTTAAGAGTACAGGAGAACCAGTAGCTGTGTTGTTAACTGTCAGGAAAGAAATTAAGCTACCATATACTTACTCTGTCTTTGGAATGTGAGGGACAAATTAAGTAATAATACCATTAGCTTACATTTGTGTAAATTGGCACACTGTCTTAATTTCAAGTTCTAGAAACTTCAGAGATGAGGACTCAGAGAACCCAGATCTCATGAGTGTGAAAACAAGGTTTACTTTGCTTTCTGGTGCTTTAAACATGTCTAGTATAACATTTCAGAACATTCCTCCTTAATTTTTTTTAAGTTGGTAACCAATTGCAGTTACCAAGTCTCTTATTCATAGTCTTACTATTGATAGTATAATTAAATGATAAACCCTAACCAGTTTGGCTCAGTGGATAGAGCGTCAGCCTGCAGACTCAAGGGTCCCGGGTTCGATTCCGGCCAAGGGCATGTACCTTGGTTGCGAGCACATCCCCAGTAGGGAGTATGCAGGAGACAGCTGGTCGATGTTTCTCTCTCTTATCCATGTTTCTAACTCTCTATCCTTCTCCCTTCCTCTCTGTAAAAAATCAATAAAATATATTTTAAAAAAATAAATGATACTCATTTACTATATAAATATTCCATCTTCAGATGAAGAAGTAGAGACATGGGTTAAAAACTTTTTCAAGGCCATTATAGTATGTGCCAGAGCCAGGGTTCACACTGCAGACTGTGCAACTCCAAGCCCTTGCTCTAGCCTTGGCTTCTCAGACATGTATGTCTCTGCCCTGAGAGCTTCTGAGAATGAAAATCCAGACAAAGCTGGAAGCAGGGATACGCTGGCTTCTGCAACACTTCATTCATTTAGGCACAAATGTCCTTGAATTGACAGTGACTCGCAGGTACAAAAAAGATTAGATTAGGGAAGGTGAGATATCAGATATTTAGGGTTCAAGGGGAGCCAGATTCTGATTACAGTATATTCAACTGTAGCAATATTAACCCAGTTGGACAAATAAGACATGCTTATCTAGTTCTTGTAGAAGCCCTGCTTAGATGATTTCAGCCCAGTAGCTGCAGCTTGATGAGGAAGTTATTTGGACACTAGGTTTTCATAATATTGCATTATTTCCTATCTCACTTGCTAAATGCAATTCCTCTATTTTAAAACATGCCTGTATCTCTCTTATATTTTATTTCTACCTAAAAGTTCTCATATACCTCCTGGCTTATCCAGTATCAGGCATTAAAGAAAACATCTGTCTCACTCTCCACATCTGCCTCCTATAGTTAAAGGTCTTCAGCCACTGCCTTCGTTAAGGTTCAAGAAGATATGTACCTTTTTCTTAGAGGAGAGCTAGGAGAGAGGAATGGTCCTCAAATTTATACTACAAGTTCTCACATTTTTCTCTCTCAAGGGTTATTATTTCTGAATTCTTGACTTCCTATAAATCAGGAATTTACTTAGTTGATTTATTGCCAAGAGTTCAGATTTGATAGGCAGTGCTATAAAAAGTCTAGTACTTTCTCATTTTCCTTATGATGATCAGTAAGGAGTCTTTATCTTGGTCTCTTTGTTGACTCTGCTTCTTTAATTCCTTGGGAACATGCTCAATACTGTAGTTAACTTTTTGTCATCCTCTCCTAGGGAGCATTTTTATCACGGTGGTGGCCTCAGGTCATTATCCGTAGTACGTATAAGATAACTAGCTTTTCATTCTGCTTTCTTCTAACTTTCTTTTGTTGATTACACGATCCCATTAAAACCATTATGTTTTAAAACAGCGTGGTAAGTGATAACTGATGTTCTTTTTAGGTTTATTACTTTCTTTTAAAAACCTTTTGGGTTCTTAAGATCCACGAACTAATGCCCCTTAATAGTTGTGAGGTGAACGATATATAGCATTCGATGGTCTCTCTCTGTTAAAATATGAGGTGCATTATGGGAACTGTTTTCATAGAACAGTTCTCCAGGTGGTTAATGACTGAATTAGAAAGAACTCTGGCAAAAAAGCAAGATCTTGACCAAGAGCTGAGAATTTCATAAAAACAACAGTATTTTAGTTAGGATAGAACTGTGTGGGTCCAGATCCCAAGGTTTGTGCTGTTGCCCCACAGGTCAGACTGCTGACAGCTCTGGCGAGGTTTACTTGTCCTGCTCTCGCAGAACTTTCATGGTTCAGGCTTTAACAGGAGTCTGTGGTGGGGAAGCAAGCTCCTCTTTCCCAAAAGGGATCCAAGGGTCTTTTCCCTTTTCCCTGTGAGCCTCTCCTGTCCACTTCGTGGCACCCACCCAGTTAGATGTTTACCAGGAAATGTCCTTGTGAACCTTTGTAGTCTATGCAACTTGAACCTCCAGAAACAAGATTTTGTAAGAGCTCAACATGCTTCCCCGTACTCAGTGAGTCTTTCGGCAGAAAGATGCCTGTTCTGTTAGTTTCTTATGTCTCTCAAGTGTGTGGAATTAGAACAAATGAACATTTGTTGGGGCTCTTGTCTTTTATTTACTAACTTCTCTTGAATTTTGAGTAGGGTCATTGTGTTAGCACAGAGAAGCCAAGAGGTTTGTAATATCAGATAGTATGTCTTGTAATTTATAAATCTACTCCATCACTTGGGGTTACAAGGAGTCTGATAGGGGAAAAGCGGTATCTGCTTTAATCTGACTACTAATGAGATTGCACCAGAGATTTTCCTTCTTGCTTTGACTCTTTACCTCATCTGTAAAATGAGGTAGATGGACTTAAAGATACCTGTCAGTTCTAAAATGCTGGTTCTGTTTTATAATATATAAAACTTTTTTTTCTTTCTTGCATAAGCTGTCTTTGGTGCTACCTATCATCTCAAATTCTTCTTTTGTTTTGACAGCTTTTTAAAAAGTTCTGTGTTTTGTTCGTTGTGGTCTGAGTTTCTTCTTTTTCCATGCACTGGTGGAGATTTAAGGGAGAGTGTCATCAGATAAAGATAATTAAACTTTAATTCCCTCTAAACTGGAGGAATTTGATATATCTATCTGCAGTGTGCTCTTTCTCCTTTTCGCCACCAGATGGCACATGGATCTCTTTTATTTTAGATGTGTCATTGTTACGTCTGTTAGTGACGCAGTCACGTTAGGGAGAGGCAACCTCTGTTGTTTTCAAATACAAACTGCTTGGTATGCTGCCCTCTACCGTCTGGAAAGTCGTTTGGAGGACCGATAGTAACATTAAGACAGGAAGTTATACTGGCTGTTTTCAAAAGGATCTTGTCCAGCACAGCTCGTGTATTTAATCGGAGCAATTTAGTGTTCTTTTGGGAGCCTGGAGTCTGGCGAATGTTTCTTGTTTCAGTCTGATAGTTTCATGAAAGCATAGCCTTCCTTTTAGAGTGTTACATAGAGAGCATACTTTATTAGCTTGGTAGTTCGTTTTAAATGTTTATAACTCCATTAGATACACATTCATACTTCATCTCTGTCTCAGTTTCTACAAAATAGCTACTTCAAGCACATAATAGAACTATCCACTGATTATATACTGTTAATTTCCCAGAGGTACTATACTGAATTTGTTTCCTTCAGGGAATTCCCCTGGCCTATCCTGGGTAGAATTTGCTGGTGCAGAAAAGTTTTTACAGTCAACCCTTCTGTGACATTTGTTGGCATCTGACTATCCCAAGATAATCTCAGTTATAGAGCCTCCTTCTAGCTATTCAAACTCGAGTGTGCCTGTGTTATTATTCTAGACATATGTAGACTGAAATTATCTTCTAAACCCAACACAGCACCCACCATTACCTGCAGATTCTAGATCTGATTTCTGACAAAATGTTTTTACATGGCATTGCCTGAGACTTAGATCATCTCATAGGGGATCTGTATTGCCTAAATTTTTGTCAGCTTGATGCAGTTAGTCCCTACACTTAAATGTCTGTTTCTGCCGGTAATTTCCAACCTTTAGTGTACATAAGGATTACAGGAGGAACTTGTTAAAAATCCAGAGAGTCCAGGTTACAAGGACTGTAGACAAGTATATTTTTAACAAGCATCCCATGTAATTTTGTTATATATATATTAACCTGGCTTGACCCATTGCTTCAGTTTTCACTCTTATCCATGTTCTGCTTGCTGTCTTCCCTTCCCTGCCATAGTCTAAAAGCTACTCTACTTTTTCTTGTGATAACACTTTTATGTCTGTGTCAGAGTAGATAATGTACAAGTATTGTCTTTGTTTTTATGGAGGTCATGCCAGATCACTTTGGAAACAATTTGACATTGTCTACTAACATTTTGGAGGCTGTACTTCAAGGGCACTTGCTTCTACAAAATCATTTTCTTGCTATTTTCCCAGCCAGGTCTCAAAACATCTTTGGAGGATGTTTTGAAGAAGTTCTCTGCAGTCAGTGAAGTAGCTGGGACCCACTTAGCAATGGACTGGGCTGGAGAGGATGGATGGAGGAGGGATGATTAGAGGTCTCTCAGCTTTTACAACAAAGTTGGAGTTGATGAGAAACTGGAGGAAGTACAGATCATGATGGAGAGTGTTGTGGCTGTGCAGACATAACTCTTGTTAAGTCGGTTATTCTCTCTCCAGGGAGACCCGGAGTTGGTAGGGATCAAGGGTGTGATTAGGAGGAGGAATGGGATCTCCAGGAAATTTCAGAGCAGAGTAAGCTTTGGGATGAGCAGAAGAGGATCCATTGCTCTCTGGCTACATACTGAGCCAAACTGCTGCCCCAAGAAAAAGCACTGTTGTGAGGGTCCCTTACACTGTGGGAGTTGTTGGATCTGAACTTAGTTTTCTGCTGATAGGGACACATCTCCCTGCAAACATAAAACAGTAGCCAGACTGGTTTTCAGGGAGCCCTAAGGGTATCTCCACCACAGATTGGTTTTTTTTCTGGGCTTTT